TATTTAGTTTATAAAATTCATTAGATTTCTGATAACTCTGCCTTGGACTTCACAATTCATGTTGTATTATCAGCATATGCCACAACAGCTTGTCTCTGTTTTATCCATGTAATTTCTCCTTTTCTTAAGTCTGTAGGCTATAGCACCGCTACCTCATATCTCCAGTCTTTGATTCTTTGCACTTCATACAAAAGCAGTTTGTAAAAAATACACCATATTAAAGAGAACAGCATCTCTTCCTGGTTTATTCTATCCTTTGCCTTAATTACTTTAGTGCTCCCATATGCTATTATCACTTCTAATTCTCTATATTTATACAGGCTAATAATATAATTCTGTATGGAGGTGTGGCGACTTAGTGTAGTGGTCTAGTCATCATCCTCTCCAAGTGGCAGGTCTAGAGTTCGAATCCCACAGATGACGATTTTTAAAAATTGGGCTTGTGTTCAGTTAACGGCTATGCTTATTGGTTGAATCTAATCTGTAACTTCGGTCATACCATCTAGTAATGGGAGCAATGGCGCAATAAATCTGAGGAACCAGCATAACCAAAAACCCATTTGGGAAGTCCTGAGTTAGGAGTAGCAGTGATCTATGATGGTATCACAAGAGGGCTGAATTCAAACCAGAGCCCGAGATTGGAGAACCGAGCGACCAGGTCCTAATAGTGGAGAACACACTAGCTGAACTGCTGGGTTGTCGCCCAGAGGAAAAGGACCTACACTCCAAAAGTATGTACCAAAAGGAGGGCGTCTTTCAGGCACCTAAAGCCTGGGCAGACCGACCTTTCCGAGTTGCTGGCTGGAAGTAAGGGAGGGACCGATAAAGAATCTGGGTAAGAAGACGGTCTAATTGCAGATAACAAAGTTGTTGTGAACCTATACAAGGGTGGAAGTAGGTAATGGTCTAATTAGAAAGGTTGTAGTTGTCGAATTGGGTAGCGACAGCACCTTTAGGAGTGGCTTGAGATACGAACTTGGTTTGGCGATATAATTAGTACTAGTTAGATAAGGGGTTTAATAGTTAGCCCTGACCCCGAGTACATAGGTCAAGCTGTGGTGGAGGTTACCAAAGCCTGGGTGAATACATGGGTGGGATAGGTACTCTAGCAAAAAGTTAGTCACCGGCTTCAATGTTGAGGTTCGGTACGGTTTCCACGACAATTCTGAAGTAGTGCGGCTATTACATCTAGGGCTTAATAAAGCAACCGGGTAGGGTCAGGTATTTCAGTAATCATTAGTTCTGCGGTACAGGCACCTGTCATTTAGAAATAGTTCTCATACGCTATTTGTCGACAGGCTTAGAGTTTATCACTTATTATTTATGTTAGTTAGCTAGTATCATTTGTATATATGAATTAATTATTAAATAAATACCTGGCAAGATATGCCAAAGTTAAAAAAAAAATAAAAAAAAAATATATATAATTCTGTATGTTTGTTGGCATCTTAATTCTTTTAAAGGCTAACTCTAGCAAGATCATGCTTACAGAGTCAAATGCCTTTTGCATATCCTGTAATAGGATCCACAACTCTTGTTTTTTTTCTTGTGCTTCTTCTCAGGATGTGTATGGGTCTTCTGTGCTTTCATCTGTAAAACCTGCGTAGTTTGGATCTTTGAGTATGTTGTGTTTTTTAAGAACTTGTTCTAGTCTTTTTATTATTACTCTACTTAGAACTTTCCAGATATTTTCTAGTAGAATAATAGGACGTATATTGTTTAATTTATAGTTCTAGTCTTCTTTTTTTAGAATTGGGTATAAAACTCTAATTTTCTATTTTAGCAGAATGTTTTTTGTTTTTATATACTTTGAAAAAAGTTTTATACAAGCTTTTGTTTTTGCACCACTATTTTTGAGAACTGGATATGTAATGCCTGACAGACCTGGAGCAGAGTTATTTCATGTTTTCTGCAAAGCTTCATTTCAATCTTCTAATGTTATTTTATTTAACACCTCTTTGTACCATTTCTTATCTATATTCTCTATATGACTATACTGCTCTGCCCAGGATGTATTTAATAACTCTCTATCAATATTTCTCTTTCTAAATTGCTTCTCAAAGAAAGATTTCACCTTTTCTATAATCTCTATTTCACTATTAACTAAGAAGATATCCTCTTCTGTTTTCTCAAATACTCTAACTATTTTGATTTTTTAGTATGGTTTTTTGAGTATGCTATTTAACATACTTTTTTGATTTAAAGAGATATTCTCACATCTTTCTTCTATTTTCCTTTTAATACTATGCTCTTCTTCTGCTAATTTCGTTTTGTTCCATATCTTTTTCGCAGTCTTTGCAACTTGCTCTAGTTGTTTGTAGGTGTCATATGACCATGTGTGACTCCATGTGACTGGGGCTTCTTCTAATTCCGTCTTAATTGCTATGTTTACATTTTCTAGAGCTTTTACTAACTCCTCTGTTATTACTTGCCCAATTTTCTTTTTGGTCTTTCTACAAAGCTTATTAACTTTATTAGCGATTTTTCTGAGTTTGTAAAAGGGGCTCTGGTCTACTTTTGGTTTTTTCTCCGCCATGAGTCTTGCTTTTGGAAGTGTCTTGTTGGCTCTTTTTCTTATTGCAGTTTCAATAATATTCTACTCTCTGTCTAAAGCCTTTTGACTTTCTTCTTCTCTTAAGATACTCACTGATTTTCCAAAACTTTTTACCTTTTTAGTTCTTGACTTGTTATCAAAGCATTTGTTTTTTGTACAAAGTCTTCTCAATCACCTGGCTCGATTCTTTGAAGGTCTATATATATCTTTTTGGTTTTGGCTTTTTTCCTTTAAGCTTTCTTTTATATACATCTATAATCCTCTCATTCTAGCCATATTGTATTCATATCATGATCACTCTCTATTACCAGGTTCATATCTTGTACTTTGCACTTTCTTAAGTCTTCGAACCAATTATTGGAGACCCACATATAATCAATTGTCGTGTCTTTTTCTGCGCTTCTTCTTGTAGTTATTTTTTCCTCATCTTTTATTCTCTCAAAGATGCTCTTGAAGTCTCTATCTATGAGTTTCCAAATAAGAGTTTTTTTATTTATAGTTGTAGCTCTTCTCTCTACATTGTGATTTATTTTTTCCAGCTCTATGTTGAAATCTCCTATTACTATACATTTCGTCTCCTTGTTTTTATACTTTTGTTCTGCTTGTTTTGTTACCTTTCAGCAAATTTCCTCTTCAATTTCACTATCGTTTGGTGGTATATAAATCACCAACACAACCCACACTTCTTCTTTAAAGATATATATTGTTTTTAATAAATATGATGACCACTTCAAAACTCTAGCTAGATATTTTTTAACACTTTCATGTACCAGAAGTACTACTCTAAACCCTTTTTTTTTTCTTTTGCTGCTGATATCCAAAAGCCAAAATATTTGTCCTCCTTGTCAATCTGCCAAATATTCTCTTTATCTTGTATATTTGTCTCACATAAGCCCAAAATGTCTATTCTCTTTTCCCTTGCAAAATCTACTAAGCTATTTATCTTGCATTTGTTCGTTTTAACCCTGTTTATATTGTGAACCCCTACAATTACCACTCTACTATTCTTCTTATCCTTCTCTTTTCCATACTTAGTGGCCTTGTCATCTTTTCCTCTTGTTAAACCTGTGGCAACTTTTAGGAGCGTCTAGAGAATGGGCTCTTTCTCCTAAATCTGTTTTTTATTTCTTGTTAAGCCTCGATCTTTTCTAATCTGCCTAGTATTTTTGTCAGGGATATGTATTATTTCACCGACAATCACTTTACAGACAGCTTATATCAGCAAATTATATTAACGTAAACTTGCGTAAATTATTATGCCCCCGAAATATTGCACAATAATTACAGTCTGGGCACAATATTGCGTAATAAATTGCGAAATATTGCGCAATATATAACATAATATTACGTAATATATTACGTAATATTACGAAAATTATATTGTAATATTACAAAAAAAACATTTGAAATATTTCGAAATAATTCGAATTTGTTCAAATTAATTCAAATGAATTCAAATAATTTGAATGAATTCAAAATAATTCAAACAAATTCGAAATAATTCAAAAGATTTTACAATATTGCAAACATATATAAATTGAATATTTTCAAATTATTATATAAACTAATAAAATATTGCAAAATATTGCGAAATATTTCGAAATATTTTACAATATTTTAAAAAATTTCAAAAGTTTATGTAATAATTTGCAAAAAATATTGCTAACCATAACTGGTGATGATAATCTCTGGCAACATATAATTAAATAGTTATATCTCAATCATAAAATCACAATATCAATAATAAATTCAATTTTATTAAAACTCCAATAATCATTATATAAATTTAATACTAAGAACTAATACTGTTGATGACAAACAATGCCACAAGTCCACTAACAAGAAACCAATTAGCAACATCACAAGCCCAATATGAAAGGCAACTAGCGATATCACAAGCCTAACAACATCACAAAAAGTTCTAGTAAGCCCAAACAACAAAGACCAACTAATGTCATCACAATCCACAACAACTAAAAATACTAAAAAGACTGACTAATGACATTACAAACCCGACAATGAAAGCCCATTAACAATAATAGATCAACTGATGACACTATACGACGAAAAGCAAAAGCATCAATAGAAGCCGTCCCTGTACAAAAAAAAAAGAAAGCATACTAAGAACTAAAAAAAATAACACCAACAAAAAACCAACTAGCAATACAACAAGCCCAACACGAAAGACTGACTAACTATATCACAAGCCTGATGACAAAAGCCCATTAACGACGAAAAGCAAAAGTATCAATAAAAGCCATCCCTATACAAAAAAAAAAAGAAAGCGCAAAAATTTTAATTTTAAGAACTAAACAAAAACAAAAAAAAAAACACTGCTGGTGACAAACGATGCTACAAGTCCACCAATAAGAAACCAACTAGTGACACTACAAGCCCAACACAAAAGACTGACTAATGATATCACAAGCCCGACGACAAAAGCCCATTAACGACGAAAAGCAAAAGCATCGATAGAAGCCATCCCTATACAAAAAAAAAGAAAGTGCAAAAATTTAATACTAAACAAAAATACAAAAAAAAAAGACACTGCTAGTGACAAACGATGCCACAAGTCCACCAACAAAAAACCAACTAGCAACACCACATTCCCAACACAAAAGACTGACTAACGACATCACAAGCCCAACGACGAGAGCCTATTAATAACATTACAACAAGTTTAGTGAGTCCAAACGACAAAGACCAACTAACAATGAAAAGTACTAAAATTCGAGAAAGCACGAAAGTTAGTACAAGAACTAGACAAATATAAAAAAAACAAATAAACTTAGTAAAAAAGGTGTACTGAAATAAACGTAAAAGAAATTAAAAATACTTATATATTATTAAGTTGTGTAGCTGGTGATTATAGTTTAAATTCATGATTACCAATCTTATAAATGATTGGATGATCATTCATTGGAATCGTAAGATAATCTGAAAGGTTTCGCAAATTTTCAAAATTTTCAAAACAGCTATAATGATAACTAAAAATACCTAAATCAAATTAGGGCTTATTATTTTCTATGGTTAATTTATGCGAAACTATGTGAAAAAGTTTAGAAGTATATGATATTTTTGCAAATAGGTACATATATAAGCAAAAGATTATGCAATAATTTTTTTAGAATTACATCTAATTTTTTTATTTCATAAAAGTTATTTTCAACTGATTTATAATTAGTGGGCACTTGAAAATTTTGCTTAATTTTGCAATCATTCGGATTATTCTTATGATTTATCTAATCCTTTGAAATTCACGTTACTGTTTTCAGAATTTCAACCCGAAAATTGTGATATGATTTCCAAAAATTTAAATTTTTCATAAGATAATCTGAGACGTTTTGGAATCAAGCAAATTTTCATGACTTTATCATTTTCTGTGCAAAATTATGTAATTTTTAAAAATATGCAAATTAGGTAAAAGATTTTGCAATAATTTTTTTTAGATTATATCTTTTAATATATATTCTGTAATCTTAATTAACTTGCTCATAATTAAGACACCTTATAGCTAATTAAATATTAGTGGAACACTTGAAAATTTGCTTAATTTCTGCAATATTTTAGATTATTCTAATGAATTATCTAACACTTCGGAATTCATTTTACTATCTTTGGAACATTGATCTGAAAACTGTGATGTTATTTCCAAAAAGTTAGATATTTGATAAGATAATCTGAGATATTTTGAAATCAAGCAAATTTTCAAGTCCCTACTTATTTTCATAACAAAAAAAATTGTCTTGTACGTACGTACAAATTAAGTGAAATTATGTAATATTTTTTTCTATGTAATATACATACTTATAGCTATTTTTATGAATTATAAGACAGCATAGCTGATTTGAATATTAGTTTGACACTTGAATATTTTGCTTTTTTCCCGAAATCTTTCAGATTAGTCTTATGAAATATCTAATTCTTTGGAATTAATGTTGCTATCTTCTGAATTTTATTCAAAAATTGTGATATAATTTCGAAGTTTTAATTTATTTTTATAAGTTGATTCCGAAATGTTTCGGAAAACAAGCAAAAATTTCAAGTGTTCTACAATTTTTCAGATTAGTTAAAAAAAATTTTCGAGGTTTATTCGATATGCTATTTATCTTGGTGTTATGTATATATAAATAAGCTGAAATTGCTATACTATAAGTTACCTAAGATAATTATTTGTTTTTAAATTTTTTTTTCAAAACTTTTGAAATATTTCGAAATGATACTGGATTTACAGCTTTTTTCATTATTCCTAAAACACTTGATAAAAATATAGCCAAATGATTTTTCGACCGATCTGACCAATCTGGTTTCAATAAAAATCTGGTTGTTGAATTCAAAAAATAGATACTTTCAAACTATATTCGCTAGCAAATTATTAAAAAAAAATTAGAAGGCCTATTATCGTGGTGATAACTAGTCCATGATATGCTTGTCTTTTCACTTTCGCATTGTTTTGCTTTACCTTAACTATTAAATTAGTATATCGCAGATATTCATTATGTGCCCCTGCCATGCATATAAGAGTCATAACTATCCATAACTTTGTTAACTTATTTACGACTCTTATGAAGTACCTGCAATATACTAATTTAATGGTCAAGGCAAAGTGAACAGATGCAAAAAAGAAAAGACAAGTATATCGTGGTCTAGCTACCACCACCATACTTATCAACTCAGGATGCTTAGGTGTTAGCACCTCTTCTATAAGTTGGGTTCTTGTACATTTTCAAAGATATGATTGTATTAAAAAACTTTCATTGCTTTCAGGAAAACCACATTCTTTAAGCATGAATAAAAGAAAATCTGACTAGTACTTGTTAGAATTACAATCCGAGATGGAACTTTGATTGAGACGTAACATTAGTCTTACAACAATTTGGAGGGCTATACACTGACTTGGATATATGCACAAAACAGTAATATTTCATATATTTATATATATTTTTATTTTATAAACTTTTAACTATTTTATAAAAGGCACTTTCGTATTAATAGCTTCTGATTTAGGTTCTTTAAGATCTTTTTTGCTATTAATTTCTGAATCATTTGCGGTTACTTCAGACAAGTCAGATAACTCGAAAGTATTTGTCATAGATGATAAAGATTCTAGAGAATCTTTAATTGTTAAATCTACTGTTTCACTTTAATTTTGTTGATCATAATTTTTAACGCATTTTTGATAAATATTAATTAAGTCTTGATTTTTTGGAATCTTGACTTTAGTTGAATTTTTAGTCCAATCGACGAATTCTTGATTGTATCTAACTTTTTTAATATTAGCACCTATTTGTGTAATATAATTATTATAAAAGTTAATTTGATATCTGGAGCCTTTTTTATATTTCTTGTCAAGTTTTATTAGTTAACAAGTATAGTCTTTCCCATAAACTTTCACACAAATTAAACACCAAGTATATTGGGCAAGCGTTCAACTGAAATTTTAATAATAGACATTGAGATTAAACCAATGATATAATTTAATTTATGATACATGGACAATTAAAAATATATTTTTTATTTACTGTTCATGCCAAAAAAAATAACTTAACCGGATTGGGCAAAAAATCTTTGGCTAATTTTTTATAGGTGTCCCAGGAATAATAGTTGGCGGGTCATTGGTGATACGAAAACTGCATATATGTGAATTATTTTGAATTTTTTGCCTAATGTAAAAATGCCGTAATATTATGTAAAATATTTCGAAATATTGCACAAATAACTTACGTAATATTTCATAATAAATTTGCTAATGTAGTTCACCGACAATTAATTCACAGACAAATTCATTTCACCGACAATTATTTCACTAATAGCTCATTTCACTGACAAGTATTTTTTATAAATTACACTAACCTTAACTCTAATTCTAACCTGACACTAACAACAATGACCAGAATTACTTTGTTAGTAAAATGTTGTCAGTGAAATGAACTTGTCTGTGAATTAATTGTCAGTAAACTAAGTTGTTGGTGAAGTAATTGTTGGTTAATTTCTATAAACTTTTATTCTTTATCTTGACTGATCATCTCTGCTTGCTTACTCTTGGGTTTTTTTTTTGGTTAAGCTGCTGCTTTGCTGGGTCATCATTCTCCTTATTTTCACAGAAGTTGTTTACTTTCTTTTTCTCCAGGATATCTAAGAATTCTTCTGCTCTACTAACTCCTTGTGACAGTTTTTCTTCTATACTTGTTAGATCATTTTTGTGTATACTACTATTCTTTTTTTCAATTTCTTTATTCTTTATCTATTCCAATTTTGTATTGTAGTAATACTCTCTTGTACCCAGTTGCTGCATATAAATCCTCCTCAGATTCAAAAAAAACTGATGCTATACTTCTTTGATTTTTGTTACTATTGTGAGATATATATACTGCCTATACTTTAAGCTGTTTTAATAACATTGTTTCTAGTGCTGTCTTTGGGATATTCTTGACTATAGCCTTATACTCTGCTCTATCTTCAATAATATCTCTTGTGAAATCACCTTTCGATATTCTTAATATTTTTCCTTCCTTGAAATGTACCGCCCATGCTTTTTCTAGTAGAGCTTTTCTTTTTTCATTTCGAAATGTTACAATAAAGGATACTGCTTTTTTTTTTTAAGCAGTTCCTACCATTTAAATTAAACCCGGCCATAAAACTAGAGGCACCTTCATATTCTTATTGCTTTTACGTCAAGAGGGATATCCCATAGTGTAAACTATTCTTGCGAAAATATCTTTTTTTTCAGCTTTTGCTATCTTTTGTGTAAATTTTGCCTCTTCTTTTTCTTCAAATAGTGAGTACCTATTTTCTTGAATAGCATTTGTTCTTTTATTCTAGGCTCTTTATTTACTAACAGTTTTTTTTTCACTAACGCTTCTTGTGGGTTAAGCTTAGCTCTACCTGTTTATATGATAGCTTGTATTTATTTATATTTAATTTCTCTAAGACTCTATAATCTACACAGCCACATTTTTGATCATTTAGAACTTCTTTTATTCTAAGTATCTCTTTAGGCTTTACTATTTGATTTCTATCGGCGTTTTTAACTCTAAGAAACTCTAACCAGTTATATAACTTAATCATATTTCTAAAGAGACATATTAGCTATGGTTCTGTTTTTGCCATTTTAGCCACTTCTTTGTCTTTTCTTAGAACTTTGTTCTTATGTTTGTTTTTAACTGTATTGAATTCCTCTGGCAACTTTGCAAAAAGATTTTTGTATATTTTTATTTTTTGCTCTCATTCTGCTTCAGAGACTGATGATTAATTTTTGTTTGTTATATGTGTGCTGACGTAATTTATGTAACTAAGTTGTTTCCTTATACTATCTTGTACTCCTTGTATTTATCCGCAAATGGTGGTATGCTTGTTTGTTTATTTGTTTACCCGTTTACGTGTACTTTGTTTATCATCACGTGTAGTAATCAACGTTATAGGGTCTAGAGCAATTCCCCAAATTTTCAAAACTATCTGCCAAAAATGCAGAAACCTAAAGCTAAAGTGCTTTCTTGTTGTTTGTTTTCTTTCAAACTTGGTATACTAATGTATTTTTCTGTGCTCTATCTTTTTTAATATGACCCAGAGTTATACTAACTAATGCCTTGTACTGTAAAGTTAGTTTTCTTCTCTTCAAATTTTGGTGCAGATAATC